AAAGACTATACCACAATTAATTTTCTTGTCAAGTTTGAGCCTACATGTATTTAGTTGAATACTCATGGAGTAGAATTTTTTTCAAATTTGCAAAAATAAGAAAGAATGCAGTCCCTTTTTGAATTTTGAAATGCTAAATACTAGATAAACGAACTTTGGAAATACATATCATTTAATTTATATTTTTTTTTAATTATTGTGTACATGTGCATATTGGTTCCAAACTAATGCTGCAGTCAAATTTTGCCCAGACAATCCACAAATATGCATGGTAAACACTTTTTAAGATAAAATCTGATTGAGTAAGCAAAATGGTGCATTTTAATCTGCAAGTAAACATAATCATCCCTCTTAAAATATTAATAAAAAATCATGAAAATAAAAACTAATTCTGGTAGATYGACAGAGATTGCTCAACCCTGGAGCAAATCCTGTCTTGGATCCTGTATAAAATCTTGGATCCTTGGATCCTTGGATCTTGGATCCTGYATAAAATCCTATTCAAGTTCCTACAGAATCCTGTTTATGCCTGTTTAGGATCCTACTACTACTTACTGTAGGATCTTACGTAAGAATTTGATCCTATTCAGGATCCTGCTTGGTATTCTAGTTAGGATCCTGTTTCTACCTTGGATCCTGTTTAGGATCCCATTCCTAAATAAGATTAAGATCCTACAGGATTCTGTCTAGGATTTGCACTAGGAAATTCACAGATAATGAAGTCTCATTATTAGATCAGAGTGTTAATTAGCACAAGCTTTGTGCATAATCTCCCATGTTCCTGTATTTTGTCATTTTTCATTATACCCTGTGAAAATCAAGTTGCTGCAAAAGTTACATATGTTAAAGAGTTGATGAGACAAGCAATATTTGACTTGACAAAAGGGTCTTGTGATATAAATAAAATATTCATAGACTTTTGAGGTAAATGCTGAGCACATATAAGATCTTGAAGTTACTAAGAGTATTCTGAGTTTCTACTTACATCTCTTGTTGTCCCCCTAAAATCATACTTTCCCACAATTTCTGTTCCTGCTTGCCACTAGAGTGTAATAATATAACAAACATTTAAGAAAACACGACAAAATCATCACATTCTAACCCTAGCACTAACCTAAGGTGGGGGGAGGGGCAGGGAGCCTAGAACAGTCATTACGTATTTYCTGCTTTTCAAAAGAGACTAAAAATATGTTAAGAGCCCCATTTTGGAGTCAAATTTCAAGTCAAGCACCATTTATATAAGAAATCGTCATTGCACATAATTTTGCGCATATTTCACATTTTTTTCTGCATAATCATCCCAGAAAATCCATCATAATTTTGATTTTTTCCCACATAAGGCCAGAATCCCTGATGATTGATGCTAAGAATGCAGCATTGTATTCACATATTCATTCAACAATTTGCTTGATTCTAACTACACAATGACACATACACTACTGTAACAAATGTCGATAGTAATGAAGTAGCTAGTGATGAGTAAATTTTTGAAGCATGCAAACAATCATTTCTGAAGCCAAGTTAGTACACCAGTTACCTTTCATGCATACAATGGAACCATGAATAAATTTATATTTCATAAACACTTATACAATTTATTTTTTAAATAGAGGCTTGTTTGTAGATTTTTGATGTTTCAGTTTTAAAGAAGCATGTCCCAGCACCTGTCAATAGTCCATCTGTGATGAAGTCAGTAGTARCTTGGATTCATGAGCCAGKGGTCTGGGTTTCAACCCTAACCCRARGCAGAAGTTGTTTCTTTGATTTCWTTTTTGCCACAAAAATTAATATCAATTCATAAGAGTACATCACACCYAATGTGTCTGTACTGAATAAAACGTGATTAAACTGCTTTCATCAAAAATGAAGGCTCAAGTTTACTGGAAAGTAAATGAGTGACACATWTCTATAATTTGTTTGTTCACCTCCAATATAGATTTTTATACAATCTTGAGTTAAAATGTACTTACTYTTGACTTTTTGTCTGTCATGGCTGTATTTTCCTTCAAGGAAATTTGATGAACTAAAAAGAATGCATTGTAATAATTTAGGAATTAAATCTAATAAGTTTATGCTTCCAAAGAAACTTAAAAAAAACTCTCATTTTACAAGTATCAAATACACACAATGAAGATCAACAATTATCATCCATAATCCAGATAGTCTGGGAGATTTTGGATTGTATCAATCTCTTGCCCAGTGMCCCTTATTGTGCAAGCTTGGCGAAAAACAGTGGCTCTGGAATACACAAATACTGAAAGAAAAATCAGGCTATTCACACATGCGCAGTAGAAACCTGATCTAACAGCTTTAATTTTACTGATTTTACTCTAGAAAATTGGCTATGAAAGCCTTTGAAGTAAGGGATTTATTAGACCTTAATTGATAAATCTATCTTCTTCGAAGCTATTTTGATATCTACTATGATCAGATCATAGCAGGCAGTGATAGGTAGCAATAATCATAGCAATAATTTGTCTCTTCACTGTATTCCATTTTATACTTTAATAATTAATCATATTACTCTCAAATATTGCCCACTTCACAGACTTCATGAATGCTTTGAAAGGAACTTAGAATCTGAGGTGAGATAGCGAAATACAGAATGATTTGAGTGTGCTCATGAGCAACAAATGTTTGTGCACTCCAGACCCACTGCTTTTCAAGGAGCTTGTGCACAAATAGGGGCAGCCGGGCACTGGGTATGATGGTATTGAATCTCCAAGTTAATTAAAATATTCTAACATAAGATCTCAAGTCAAGGTACAATGACATTGGTCTGTGAACACATCTCAGCTACGAATTGACAGAAATAATTCTGAGAAAAATATAAATAACAATAATACAACTGTATGTGCTGGCTTTCTCTATATTAGTTAGAAATTCATATAAAGTCTACAGCCTTCTCAGAATTCTGCCAAAATTTCAAGTTGCTTGTGTTTCTCAATAGCCAAAACATCCAAAAATTACTATGGTAGCTCCAAGGATTTGCCTTTAGATGGTCTTTTAAGTGATTCTCTCTAAGCGAAGGTCCAAGTTAATCGAATGAGCCGCGGAAGCAAAATCGCTTCATATTTTCCTTGGTTGCCAACATCATCAGGAGATAAATTTACATACTAGAATGGAATGTTACTATGCAAAGGGACTACAGTTCTTTAAGTTTTCTGCATTTGTCATGTGAGTTGATATATACATATTTCATTTTCACCTATTGTCTTAAACRCTATTTCTTGCTCTGCTGGTGTAAATTTATCTATCTCCTGATGATGACAACCAATGAAAGCTTGAGGTAATTAAATGCCTTAGTTTATAGTAGTGTATGGGTCCTTATCTTATCTCTTATGCCATCCATGTCACCATGCTACTGCAGAACAACTTCCTCATATTCGCTACCTCTTGAAGCCACTAGGAGGCACATTCCCAGGCATTGATGCTTACGACGTAAGCCGGAAGTGAATTGAAAACAATAGAAAACAAAGGAATGGAAACGAGGCCTAAGGGCCCTTGAGGTGTTCAGATGGCAGATATCAAGGGATTCCATTCACTTGGATTCAAGAAAAATTGCTTGTCTAGGAAAAGTACATTTTCTTGCTTCTTGTTAAATTCAATAAGAATACTTTTTTAATCCCTAAGTTACTTCCGGTTTATGTCGTAAGCATGTATCTCTGAGACCTGGGAATGAGCCTCATAATCAATGTTTCTATGGTGGGGACCTCATTATATTTATCTGCTTGACCCAGCTGGCCCAGCAAATTAGCTCGATTAAATGTACCTAAGCTATTTCTAAATCACTTGCAGCCTTCTATGTATAATTTTTTTTTCTGTGTCATTAAGAACTTACATGTAAATATTTTGTTAATAATATAATTGCTGTTATTGTTGTCATCATCTTTTATAGAGACAAAAAATCATATTTACAATCAGATAATAGAAAAGTAAACTAATAAAMATTAGGACAATTAAAAATGCTGTCCGTATCTTGATAGGTTTATGATTCATAGTTATTTGACCAAGATTAAAGCACTTGTTCTATTTTCAGTGCTCCAACCTCCATTGAAGCTTMGATACAGACCATGCATGCTTATCGAATGCTTCAGATCATGAATTGAACCAGAATATAACGTTTTTGCTCTCTTTTTAAGAATTATTCAGATGGAAGTAAAAACAGCACCAAAAATTAACTAGATTTTACACAAATCGTTTGTGGATGTGCATTCCACAGCACATCGGTCAAAAATAACACAATACACGAACAGCAAGAGATATTCCGCCAGCAAGTAATAATTAGACTGTCTTGCGAAAAAAATACAAAAACAGCGTTCTATTCTGATTCTATTCCCTTATATTAAAAGAATGGCAATATTAAAAATAATATTTGAGYCATATTTGACATGCAAGAGTTGAAGCTTACCTCGACCTCAGATGAAGTATTTACTTCCACAACCACCAATATAAGAGTCCGAGATTAAGTTACAAGAAAACGAGTAGTTTTTTGTTTCGAATATTGAGATATTATAATGCTAAAGTGAAGCCATCTCGGGGTAAATAACATTTAACATACACGAAATCTAGTGAGTGTAGTTCATGAATCTGCTGATCACATTCGGTACAGGAAACAGGAAGGACTATTAAATCCCAGAGGGCCGTCAATGCATTGATATCCCGAATGGCCATAAATTTATTCATTCACAGGGATCCCAGGAGGATAAAATCTCGGACCTGAGATTTAACRTGTTTGAATTTGCAGTAGTGATATCTATTTTGCTGAACGCCACAAAACATATCAATCTATGTCCATCAACGATTACCGACAGCAAAATATAATAAACGCATTTAAAGGACGATGCTATATTTCCTATTTTCAAGCTGGGATTCCTGTGCCACTCCATGCTCTCCCAGTAGTAATTGAAAAAAAAAATGATCAGGCTGTTATACAGGAAATTATGAATGCATGAGAAAAACATAATGTATTACATAAATGCCTGCACCTACAAGAAAGTTTCTGAAAGTACCTGCATATTGCAGAATCATCCATTATTTTACTAGTCTGGAAAAGAAATAAAAATCTTAAGAAAATCTGAAATATGACAGGACTCAAACCCGAACCATTGTGCTGCAAGAACAATGCCATGACCACTCGGCCATACCCCTTATATAAAAACACAAAGTAAATAAAATGATGCAATAGCATAAAAGGCATATTGTGATAAGTCTGGAAGAGCCAAAGTGGCCTTGCAGTAGCCTTGGATTCATAGGACAGGACAGAATAATATAACTAATACTCTGTGGGCTTGGGCAAAGACATTATTGTTTTCTAGTCTATTGTTTGASTGTGTTTATTCTTTTAAATGTAATATAACCACAAGAAAAACACAAGAAAATTGTAGAACAACTTGATTCCGATATCTATTTAGTTTCATAGCTGTTCATTTCATGAGGCACACATCTTATTTGTTTCAATGAAATACATAAATAATTATGTCATGCATTACTCTCATGTAAGTTTGCCTTCAGTCTAAGAAAGTTTTCAGTATAACTGTCTTGCTCAAGTTAACAACAAACTTAAAAATAATCGTTCATGTGTTTTTCTGGAGCCTGTTTGTGGGCCAAGTATAAGAAGCCAATACTTGACAAAGCACTTACAAGAAAAATGACATCAAACCATCGATGATAGAAATTAAACTGCAGAAGTCCAAGCACTTCTGTAATTATTTCTCTGTATGCAACTGGCATATTCATTCTCATTAGAAGWACTGAAGACACAAAGTACATGCCCATGATTTCWGCAAGAACCAAAACAATCACATTGGATGATTTACTGCTTGCCATGGCATTGAAAAATTTAGTGAAAGTTATTAGAAGACCACGAATTGAGGTAATTATTAAGATTCCTATTAAGAGAAACGAAAATTGCTGTGACCAAAATAAAACGTCAAACTGCATTCCCAAATACTTCACAGTGATATCAATAGTTCGTGTTACTGGATCAACTTTGCCAACACGATCAAATACAATGTTCACTGTAGAGATGAAGATCTTCCAGATGCAGTAACCCGAAAAGATATGTCCTAAGAAATCAAAATATTTTCCCTGTAAGGTTTTTGAGAATTCCATTCTCTGTCGAGTACAATGCAAATCAACAATTTCAAGAAACAGCTGGCGACTAAGCTCTTCCATGGCATCAACTTCTGTCTGAAGATGTGATGTATTCTCCATCCTGCTAGATACATTACTAAACATTCCCCAAAGACCTGCAATAAAGAAATCAGCATTTCTTCAATAGATATTCTCAGAATGCATACAATTGGGAAATGAGTAGGTAGTTTGATAAAGTTCCTTATCTCTTGGACCAACTAAACAGGCAAGTCAGCCTTGCATTACACTRCATGCAAMCTAGTGTTTAATCACTTTYGTCATTTATTGATCCCAAATATGAATATTAATAATAATAATGCATCAGTCAACTCCAAGGGCAACCAATAAACTTTTGAAGTCAAGGGAACAGACAGCTTTACAGCTTGAACCATCTAAATTTTTATTAACCTTTACCCTGGTTCCAGAGGCTTGTCCAATCTCGTACCCAGAGCTGCCGTTCCTCTTGACCAAGAGGAACGGCGGCTCTGGGTACGGGATTGGAGGCTTGTCTTTTATTCTCTATTGAACCAGTGCCTCTGGAACCTGGGTAATTAGCCTTGTTTTAAACTTGAGCTACATTTTCAGCTGTATTATGTGCCAAAAACTAGACCTTTAAAATTTCTTTTTGTTGTTAGTTGCTGACTATAACATGTAATTTTGATAGTTAAATGCTGAACCTGGTCACCAGGTGAGCCTGGCATTATTTTTGAATGCCTKYCTGTTTGGAAAAGAATCTRAGTAAAATGACCTGGGTTTGCCATTTGCTCAGAATTGAGAAGGGAAMTGGGCACCCTTGGAATTGATTGATACATAAATACCATATCAGCTAGGCTCCTKATCATACCTGATTTGACCTGTGAAGATGCAGCAAACCTTTGACTTTCTTTCCTAGCCAATGCAATCCTCTTTTTCTTACTGAGAACCATATCCATAGTTTGAGCAAGTCTTTTYTCCAGGGATTGAATGTCAGAGTCAGTCACATGTCTCATAAAGAATGTCATGTATGTRTATGGGCAGTTTACTGCACCAAATCCTGATAAAATAGCCATAACAGTTACGCCTATCACTCCCACTCTACTGATTCCTTGTTCAATTGAAAATATACCATGCCTAGGGTTCAAGATGGGAAATGGATTTCCAATCTTCCAGAACAAATAAAGAAATGCCAACCAAAACCCAGAAGCAAGAGCGACCACTGAAACTCTATTTGTCACAAAACTAATGTTCTTCACCAARAAGTAAGAGATGTAGAACGGAAGRAGAAATATGAGAGTAAAAAGCATCGAAAAAATGCCAACTTTCCAATGAAAATATCGAGAGTTCTTGTCCAGGATTCCAAGGATTTCAAAAATGATCAGTTCAAACATAGTGCATGACAAAGCAAAAGTGATCGAGAATACTATCTGTACTGCTARATGATGSACTTCATAGTTTCTGAAAAGTCTTCTCATGAAAAATATCCATCCCATTCCAAAGAAAAGCAATTGAGAGAAAAATACTATCGCAAAATCTCCAGCAAATGCCATTTTCCAAAGATGCCACGTTCTGCTTCGATTCGAGAACGAGGTTTTACCGATGATAAATCGAACGTTAACTTTTCTATACGAGCCCTTCACGAACTTTCAGCGAGATTTGAACGAAAGATTCCAAATAGCCCAAATCYCAAATGATGCAAGATATTACATTATCCCAATTTGTTATTGTTGTATYAAAATGGCAAATACCTTTGCGAAATATTTCTAGCAGAATTATTCATTTCTGTTGCAAATCGCTCGTGCAGCTCCTGAAGCGCGAAAACTATGAACCAATCATACTCAAGACTTTGAGGCTATCGACCAATCAGAGGAGAGCGAGGGTGATTCAAAAGTGACCGAGTCATGTGCTCTACGATTCACATTCAAACGACTAGTTCGACTGCGTAGATCAAAAGTTATCTTGAAAAATCTTTCTTATTTTCAAGTTTGAATTTAGAGWAAACGAGAACCACAAGAAATTGATAATGGCTGCTATTCGTCGTCTTGGAGCGGTGAGTTTACTAAATGCATTGGGGCTGTATGGTGTGGAGTCAGTTGAATGAATTTGAAAAATTTCAGCTACAGTTGAGCTTAATTTTAACTTGAATGTCTTATATGTTTATTCGTTGATTGCAGCAAACCCTTCCATTTGAGAAGGAAAACGAAAATGTACGAGCTATGAAAGCTGGTGTAGGCAAAGTTACTCGGCCTCGTGTAGCTTTGGGAGACCACACGAACAAGAATCTGAATGTCCTTGAAGCAAAGGCGAGTGTTATCTTATCGGTTTACATACGTTTACCCTGGTCCCAGAGGTTTTCTTTTCTCTTCTTTTCTAGATGTTTTTTATCGTATTTTTGTCTTTGTTTTTTATCGTCGCAAGAAGAAAACCTCTGGTCGGGACCGTTGAGAATCTCACTTTCATGCCACCAGCTTCGGATCGGCGTTTGTGATTGGTGGAAATAATTAATCTCTAAAGCAGCAATATGATTGGCTAGAAAATATACCTTTGGGGGTGGGTATAATGTGTTTTTGCTTCTTTCTGTGTAAAGATCAAAATTACCAAGCGGGGAGGACAAGGGTTACTTTAGTATATGCTCGACATTCCATTTATGATCGCTTACTACTGCTTCTTCTATTCAAACTCTTCGTATTTATAATTTATCTTCTATGGCATCAATATCAAAGTCTTCTTGCGACGTTAAATATAAAAAACAAAGACAAAAATACGATAAAAAACATCTAGAAAAGAACGTCGCAAGAAATATAAAAAACAAAGACAAAAATACGATAAAAAACATCTAGAAAAGAAGCCCGGCGTAACTAATCGATGAAAATCGATCATCGGAAAGCTAATCGATAAATCGATATTACTCGATATATCAAACTGATTAGTATTGATTAGTATCGGTAATCGATAAAAATCGATAATCACAAAAAAATATAGAGATATCGATTAATATCGATTACTTTCGCTGAGTACCAAAAATAAAACCTATCAAAAACACAGTTTTCGGCTACGTTCACACGGGGCCGGTTCCGTTCGGAACCGTTCTAGGCGCGCGTTCACACTGGAAGTCTGGAACTGGACTCTGGCGTCATGTCATGCTGCGTCAAGTGTTCAGGGTTGGGGCCGGCTAAAAAGCTGTTCCACTTTGAGGACGGCTCACATCAAAGCATGAACGGATCCGTGTAAACACTGTTTCAATCCGTACCGAAATGTGGACGGTTCCGTGTGAACAGTGGAAACTGTCCTAAAACCGAGGTGTCCTCAAACTTGACCGGCCCCGTGTGAACGTAGCGTAATTATTTATAAGTAAATTCAGTACAGATAGGAAATCGATAAAAATCGATGAAAATCGATAATCACAGCAAAGCTGAATATCGATTTTTATCGATTTCCGATAATGATCGATCGATTAGTTACGGTTTGTATCGATTAGTATCGATTTTATCGATTAATAGATTTCATCGATTAGTTACGCCGGGAAAGAAGAGAAAAGAAAACCTCTGGGACCAGGGTAACATACGTTTGGTTATATTCCACAGTATTAACGTTTGCTATTTGYTTCTCTTTTCTTTAGACTTTTGGAGATGCTAAGAAAAATCTTACAAGAGCAAAAGCTTCAACTCTTCTGGCTACAAAGACTCCTGCTTTGGATATGGTCGAAGTTAGCGAAGCCCTTGCCGAGTGTGCAGTCCCAAACAGCGTCAAAGACATTGACAAGGAAGACTACCACAATCCACAGCTATGTGCTGAATATGTTAACGATATTATGAGGTATCTGCGAGCAATGGAGGTTAGTAGTTAAGTGAGCTAAGCTTTAATACTAGTATTTAGTTCCGAAAATGTCGGAATATTAATGTCGGATCGAATAGAATTCGGAATTTGCACATGTTTTCAAACTTGTTTCTTTCGTCAAATTTGAACTATTAAAGAMCATTAAAGTAGTGAACTAAGCACATGAGAACCTATTTTTTTTTTCAGCGCAAATACAGCGTATCACAAGATTATATGAACAATCAACATGAGATAAATGCCAAGATGCGTGTCATTCTTATTGACTGGCTCGTTCAAGTACATACAAGATTCCAGCTCCTCCAAGAGACTCTCTACATGACCATATCTATTATTGATAGATACCTTGCCGTAAGTACCCATCTAGAATTAGCATCCAACAAACTATTTCTTAATTACTGGACTAAGAGCTGTTGTGTAAAACAAACTTACAAAAAAAAAAAAAAAACGTATAAAGTGTCTGTGAAGCAATTAGTTTTTCAAAGTTTATCCATGCAAAATATGGAGTTTTTAGATTTTTAAATCAAGTTTTACTATTTTCCAAGGTGAAATCACGTAGGTTATGAAAGTGCAATCACAGAAAATGCTAACCCCCCCCCCCCATCATAAATAATACATTTTGTTAATGTTACTATGACAACTCCAATATATCACATGCATGATATATCTTCCACTTTCAAGAGAATTTCAAGTTTTCAAAAGAGAACCTGGTATTCCCATTTAGTTATTTAACAGTTATTTTTTACAATTTTAGTTGACAGTACTTCTCTATACCTGTTACTTTGCACAATTTTCTTTGTCTTTACAATGTTTTATCATACAGTTACTAATGCACTTTGTTTGCTCACCATAAAGCAGTGCCATTAAAGGAAATATTATGTATTTGACTTCTAAGACRTTGCTTTTTGACAAGGAAGGCATTTTAGATCCTTGTCTTATWCAGCTACTGTAATATTGTGTATTTTCATTTACCTTCAGTGTAATGAAGTCTCTAAGCAAAAGCTTCAGTTGGTTGGAGTGAGTGCAATGTTGTTGGCATCAAAGTATGAAGAAATGTATGCACCAGAGATTAATGACTTTGTGTACATCACAGACCATGCTTACACCAAACGMCAGATTAGACAAATGGAGGCACAAATCTTTAAAACTTTGGATTTCAGCCTTGGAAAGCCCCTCTCTCTTCACTTTCTACGAAGAAACTCCAAAGCTGGTGAGGTAAGGACAGAAASCYGATACTGTTTCTTGAGGTTTTTACAAAAAGGTGTTGTTAAGGTGTCCAAATGTTCATTACCTTTGCTGATTAAAATTTAATACCTTTTTACTGTACACAACCAAAATACATAAATGCATTTTATAAATACTTGTATCTATTGTGTGTTGTTGTTTTTAGGTTGATGCTGAGAAACATACCATGGCTAAGTATYTAATGGAGGTCACCTTGCCAGACTACACAAGTGTCAAATTCTTACCATCAGAAATTGCTGCTGCAGCTCTATGTCTAGCACTGAAACTCATAGATAAATCTTCTTGGGTAAATATAAGTTATTCTTTTGTTATTGTTGTTGTTACAGGTTGCTGGCTTGGCTTGTTCTTTCAAAATGTTTTTTTTTTTGTGTTCAATCTGTTATTTTACAGTCATTTTGCCTAAAACTGTGAGTACATGAAATTTCTTCAGCTCAAATATAAATTTTAATAAGCCTTGATAATTGTATTAACTAGCCAGTCAGAYTTTGTTACCATAACTGAAAAATAGACATTCTTACTCAAACAAGCAGTGCTCAAAAAATCATGTTGATGGCTTTTGATTCTTTTTTTAAGACTCCTACATTGGAATATTACAGTACATACACAGAGGGACAACTTAAACCWTGTATGAAAAGGATTGCACAATTGGTTGTAACAAAAGGGAAAGACAAAGCTGTCCATACTAAATATGCACAAAGCAAATTCATGAGAATCAGTACCTATCAATGCTTAAAGTCTTCTATGATTGAGGACATTGCCAAGGGTGACTAAAGTTTACCTTTTCAATTTTATCAAATTTAATTATATTTACTATAGTCAATCTTGTTGAATAACCCAGTTTGTAAATAAGTTATGCTGTACGTTAGAAATGTGAATATTTCTGTGTCTTGCTTTCTATTTTTTGTGCTAATTTTGATTGATGTATAATGCATTTCATGTCCTGAATTTTTTTAACAGTGTATAATTGACAACATCAATATAATTTGGTATTGAAGAACTGATATTGAAAAGGCATAATATTTTAGCAATATTACCACAATACTGTGYACATTATTTTCATGTGAATGCATGTACACTCCAAATTCTGAAGTTTTTTGTTGTAATGGAATCTGCCTTTTTTTGATCCACTGTCAAGTAATAATGCCTTACAGTCTAGAATTTCTCTCATTTGAGGTCTTGAACAGACTTTATTTTGTTAGAATTTGGAGTTTTCACACTAAATGATGGTGTAAAACAGTAGAGGGCAAATATACACAGAAACTGATAACAAACTAACATATGTTCCTTTTGCAGTGCTATTACACTAGTCACTGGTAAACTGCACTTGAATATTTAGTTTTGTGGACATAGTGTAGGCACTATTAAAAGGGTGGTTTTCATTAGATGAATAATGTGTGATATAAGGGAAAGAAAAATGTGTGGGTAATGAAGTACCTGCTCAAGTGTATTTCATGAGTTTATGAAAACCACTTTAATGGTAGTATTAAAGAATCATTTCCATTCATTTAGTGTGAGCACTCCAAAAACATTTTCATTATTTGTCAAATAGAATATTTGCTTATCATGTAAACTTTTATTTAAGTGAGGAAATTAAAGGGGGTCGAGAAAAGCATGATTAATGTAAATGGAAGGGACTTTGTGAAAGTGCCACTTTTACTCCTTCATGGTTGGTTTTTTGACGAGAGTTTAATTTCCTCACTCATTGACATGTTTTAAATATTTTTATCTTTAATTATAAATTAATGTGTAAATAGATCRATGTAATTATTATTCAGAGTAAATTCTATGATATTAATACTTGCCTGTTTATTGGGATACAGATGCTAATAT